TCCTCCCTCCTTCCTCCTCCCTCCTCCCTCCCTCCATCAGGAAAGCCTTCGGGCACCCGAGTGGGTCACCACCCTTGTCACACAGGGGACCCCCGGGCATTGAGGTTATGGTCCCAGGTCCCCCGCAGGCCGCCGCCTCCCTCCTCCCTCCTCCCTCCAGCATGAAACCCAACAATGACAACAGCTTCACAGATTGAGGCCAGGCCTTTTTCAAAATGTGGCTCTCGTATTAGTGCCGCGCACATGTCTCCAAATGTTAAAAGAGCTTTGAGGGCAGGTCGGTTTCTAAATGTGGCTCTCGCCTTAGAGCCGCGCACATTCGTCTGAAGAGTGGGCAAGAATTTCACGGACTGAAAGCGGGTCGTTTTCAAAATGTGGCTCTCGCCTGAGCGCCGCGCACATTCGTCTTAAAAACTGCAAGAGCTTCACGGATTGAGGGCGGGTGGTCTTCAAAATGTGGTTATCGCCTTAGTGCCACGCACATTCATCCGAAAAGTTTGCAAGAGTTTCACGAAGTGAGGGCGTGCAGTTTTCAAAATATGGTTCTCATCTTAGCGCCGCGCATATTTGTCTCAAAAGTTCGCAACAAATTCACTGGTTTGGGGCGGTTCCTTTTCAAAGTGTGGATCTCGCCTCAGCGCCGCGCACATGGGTTTTATACGTTTGCAAGAGTTTCACTGATTCTCAGGGTTAACACGTCACGTCAGAAATGGTGTCTTGGACCGACTCATGATTGTCAAGGCGCAAAAGTTACGTTGATTCGCGGTGTGGAAATCCCAGTATACGCCGGTCGGAAGAAGTGGGTTGAAACATGAAGTAGGAAGGCGTTGGAAATAGATTGGGCTTCCACCCGCCCCCTGAAGATCAGGAAAGCAGGAAAACTGCTCGACTCTTGAAGTGGGAAGGCGCCTAAAATAGATTAGGATTTGGGCATCCAAAAATACATACTTTCAACGACCGGCTTGTAATGGTGCTCTGACACAATTGAGGACCGTCAAAATCTCACAGTCAGGTAAACTCGTGGAGTTGAAGTCCTGAGACAGATGTTTTGGCACGCTTCACCGTCTTTGCACGGTTGTCCCCCTACGGGCAATTACCTCCGTGGAAATGAATCCTTGTAGGGGCCTATGAAGAGGGAGCGTGGAGGTAGGGTGTATTCCAACATCATCGATGAGCCTTGGGTTTACACTGGTCCTCCTCCTCCTCCTCCTCCTCATCCTCCTCCTCCTCCTCCTTCTCCCTACCGCGCGGGCGAAGACGAGGTCAGGATCACGACCCGCCCCAATGCAGACTACTCGTCGGAATTGCGCCGTTCCCATTCTCGGCCCCCTTCCTGCTGCGCTGCTGCACAGACACGGTGGCAGGGCTTGCTGCAGGCAGGTGGATACTTTTCAAGACTTACTGGCTGGACGTGTCAACCTGTGTAACAGCTGCACGGATGGATGGGCGGCCCCTATTCAAAACGGGGCATTGGCTGGACACCGCCGGACTTCATGATCCCACCCTTTCGCGGCCCATATGACTCGCCAGGAAGATGCAGGGCAGTTCCTTTTCGATGCGGCTCTCCTGCCTTAGTGACAAGCCAACACGGTGCTTGCATTTCAAGGGGGGCGGTTCTAAAAGAAGGGAAGCATATAAAGACTCATGAGGAGGGGACTCAAGAAGGGAGGTTATATCGCAGCATCGTTGGTGCATCCTAGCTTCACGCTGGTAGTCCTCACGTTTTCTTTCTCTCTCTCTCTCTCTTCTCTCTTTATCTCTGGTCTCCCACTACTCATTGCGTAGATCGTCTGCTGAAGCTCAAAGAGCCTGCACCTCGAGCCTGCACAGCAACACAGACCTGCACGATGCCACGGCGACAGACCGGCGAGAGCTCGTGGTGATGCCTGCCGTCGGCATTCGCTTCCCGGGGATCTAGCACCGACGGGCTAACCTCCGCCGAGACCGCTCCTCAAAGGAAGCGGGGGCGAGAAGGGGCGAGGGGGAAGGAGGAAGGAGGACAGGAGAGAGGGAGGAGAGACAGAAGCAACATGGGTTACAAATAGCCTCGGGCTGTGGCTACTTCGGTCGACATGGGCTGCCGCCCCGCCGCCGCCGCCGCCGCCGCCGCCGCCGCCGCCGCCGCCGCCGCCGCCGCCGCCGCCGTCGTCGTCGTCGTCGTCGTCGTCGTCGTCGTCGTCGTCGTCGTCGTCGTCGTCGTCGTCGTCGTCGTCGTCGTCGTCACTGTCGTCGTCGTCGTCTTCGTCGTCGTCGTCATTGTCGTCGTCGTCGCTGTCGGGCACCCTCCTCTGCAAAGCTCCGAAGCCCCGCCCGTGCGGCGCGTCCGCGCGTGGCCCGAGCCGCATCGAGCACGGCGATCGTCGAGCCACCCAGAGCCCCACCTGCGAAGCGCTCCGTTGCGCTGGGCGGTCACCGTGCCGCTCGAGGTTGCGTCTCCCGTTCGTGGCGCTCTTCACTGCCAGGGAGAGGAGGGAGGAGGAGGAGGAGGAGGAGGAGGAGGAGGAGGAGGAGGAGGAGGAGGAGGAGGAGGAGGAGGGAGGAGGGAGGAGGAAGGAGGGAGGAGAGAGGAGAGAGGAGGGAGGAGGGAGGAGGAGGAGGGGAGGAGGAGGGAGGAGGAGGAGGGGAGGAGGAGGGGAGGAGGGAGGAGGAGGAGGAGGGAGGAGGACGAGGAGGGAGGAGGGAGGAGGGAGGCAACGTTCCCCGAGGTGACGCGGCCCCGCATGGGCCTTCCGGGCGCGCCATCGCGAAGTCTCCCTGCGCCTGGGCAGGGCCAGGGATCCTGCTGACCATCCTCTTCTGCACCAAATGGTAGGTCGGGCATGTCCTCCTGCAGGCGGATTTTGGAGGAAGAATAAAAAATGATACTGGAGAAACACCCCCAATCCTAATCTTTTTTGGGGCTGCAGGGCTATAGGGCTAGAGGGCTAGATGGGCTCTTGGGCGCTACATTGGCTATTGGGCAATAGGGCTATAGGGCTATAGGGCTATTCGGCTATTCGGCTATAAGGCTATAGGGCTATTCGGCTATAGGGCTATAGAACACCCCCGGGCACCTGGGCACCCCCGGGCACACCCGGGCACCCGGGCACCCGGGCACCCCCAGGCACCCGGGCACCCGGGCGTGCGGCGAAAATCGGCGGCAAACCTAAGCTAACCATATGAATCCGCTAGGACCCCTACAGAGGCAAGCTCTGATTGGGGAATAGCCCCAACGTATTCAATTATGAGCAGAAATAGTCCAGACATCGTCCCCAGACTATTTTTGGATGACCATGTTTGAACATTCCTCCTGTAGAGGGGCACGCCCGACTCAAACCAAATCTAAGCCATCGACCAACGTTTTCCAGAGGACCCACTGGCCAGCGTAGAATTGCACATTGCTGCGTGCGCGGCGTTGGCCCAACACCACACGCGCCGCCCCACTGGAGTACCCTTCGTGCACGGCAGCCGCCGGCGGCGGTGCCGCCATGCATCCACAGCGCGCACCGCCGTGACCTTGTCGTTCGCCGTCGAACCGCCCCAAAAAACGATGCGGCAGAGAACGGCCATCCCGTCTCCTCCTCCTCCTCCTCCTCCTCCTCATCCTCATCCTCCTCCTCCCCATCATCATCACCACCACCACCATCGTAATCATCATCACCACCATCACCATATCATACATATATCCCTCTCTCTCTCTCGCTCTCTCGCTCTCTCTCTTTCTCTCTCTCTCTCTCTCTTTTCTCTCTCTCTCTCTCTCCCTCTCTCTCTCGAGCTCTCGCTAGACCACCCTTATGGCAGCAGCCTGTGACCCGAAAGTCTGGATCTTCCAACAATCGCACGGACGATCGCGGCTCCTGCTCTGCATCGAGCTCTCGCTGGAAGCGCCCTCGCAGTCTGCCGCACTCGGGCTGACCATATGCCCGACAATGACACCGATAGCGCACGCTCTCTTCTCAAAACCACTTTCACGCCTCAGCGCCGCACACACACACACACACACACACACACACACACACACACACACACACACGCACACGTCCGAACGCGCACAGGCTGAATGTATGTGACGCCCCAGAGATGAGAACACCCGCCAGATGAAAGACACCTAACACCCTCAGAGAGCAACGCTCACATACTACATCACTGACGAAACGGTTGCAGCAGGGGCTCGGCCACAAGAAACGTCGCAAGGAACCAAACCTTGACACCAGGGCCTCGACAAGATATCAAAACATCGACTGCTACTCCTCTTGTCCGTCTGCCTGTCTCGCACACACACACAGTACGAGCTGGCACGCCGCGCTGCCGAGCAGCACCACAAGCCGCCGGCGCGCTCTGCAAGCATATGCCAGCACGGGCCTCGCTTCTCTCTGGCGCTCCGGCAGCCCGTGTGGCACGGCCGTCGGGGTCTGCCGTATATCCTGACTTCACGTCTCCCAATTCCCCGGCGGGGCCTGGGAAGACCACCAGTCCCCGTTTCCCAGACCCTGGCACTGCGACAGGCCATCGGGGCCGTCACCTTCCGAGCGGACGCTCGCCGCAGAGTACCTGCAGTGGCGTGTGAGAGCTCTAGGCGCGGGGTGGATTGCCCCATCTGTCATGTGTGTATGCGGGTTGGGATTGCTTGGTCCGTCCGTCGGCCCTGTCTGCATCTGTGAGCCTCTGTCTGGCTTGCACATTACTTCCCCAACTCATCGGCTTCTGGCCCCGCGCTTTCCTTAACGCTCCTTGTCGTTGCTGTGTCGCTAGCCCGTTTTCTCCTGCACTGAGCCGTGTCGTCCACATCACCCCTTCAGTCTTGACCGCCAGCCTGCCCGACTTGGCCACCGCGTCGCGGAGCGCGCGGTCGCTGAATAAAATGCGCGTTGGGTCTATGCTGGCCCTCCTCCTCCTCCTCCTCCTCCTCCTCCTCCTCCTCCTCACTCCACCTTCTTCTCCTCCTCCTCCTCCTCCCCACTTACAGAGGGACCCTCTCGAGGGAACCCTCTCTCGAGGGCCCAGCCGACGCGGTGCTCGTCCTTGGGATGAACATCCTCGTCGGTGGTGTCACCCTCCACAGGACTGGACTCCGCG